GGGGAGGGAGCAGGGAGTTTTAAGGCAGGGTCTCCTGTGGCCCTGAGTGGCCTTGATCTTCCTGTGTGGTTGAGAATGACTGTGAACTATGTTCCTTCTGTTTCTACCTCCCACGTGCCAGGATTACAGATGAGTGTCCCCACACTCATCTAAAAGGAAAAGTTCCTGAGCGATCTTGTCTTGGTCCTGGTTCTGTTGGCTGTGAAGAGACACCATGAGCACTGCACCTTTTCAAAGGAAGCCATTTCGTTGGGGCTGACTTACAGTTCAGAGGTTAATTAGTTCATGGTGACACTCGGGCAGACACGGTGCTGGAGAGGGAGCTGAGAGTTCTATCTACATTGTGATGATTGGCAGGCAGCAGAAAGAGACACTGGGCCTGCTTGAGCACTTGGAACCCCAAAGCCCTGCTCCACCAAAGCCACATCACCAATCCCTGTCACGTAGTACCGCTCTCCAAGGACCAGGCATTCCAATACATGAGCCTGTGGGGGCCATTCCTCCTCAGACCACCACAGATCTCATATGGGAGTCCTTTCCTGTTTAGATGTGTTGTTCTTGTCAAAGAAGCGCTTCTGCTCTGGATGCAGGCCACCAGGAAACCCCATGTCAGAAGGTTCCAGACACCCTTGGTCAGGTTTCTAGCCCTCACTCGCCAGGGCTTCCTTTGCGGGCTGATACCTACCATCCTGGTGGATGGACGGCATCTGTTAGAGTGGTCCCTCTTCTGGGAAGGTGTGTGACAGTCCTCTAATTTAACTCTACCATCCTAGCTGGGTTACACGTATGCTTCAGTTAACATCCTGGAAAGCACTTCTTAGCCATTCTGTTGTCTTCTGTCCCTGCCTGGTGGGCAACAACTCACCTATATGAAAATATGGCTGGAAACCAGTGCTGTGAGAGATCTCCTGCCTCTTCCTGGTTATTGGGTACATAGGAGGCCTCAGCCTACCTCACATCTACTGCCCCCACAGACTGAAACACCCTCACATCGCACCTCTGCAGCCGCCCTGTCCTAATCACCGAAGCGCTGTGTTAAGGAGCCTGCTTGTGGAGCCCGATGGCGCATGCCTGAGCATCATTATGTTTGGGCTGGAGCATCTCAGACCATTTTGTTGCTGATGCCACAGCCCTCGGTTAGCACCGTTGCAGAGATGCCTCTTGGGCCTGCCTAATCCTTCCTTGCAGTCAGCCTGGTCCTCATGTGGGAGGCAGAGGGGTTATTATTTAGTTATTTCTGTTACTGTTGGTTTTCTCCTTCGTTCATGAAAAACTAAATGTGTTTTGGCAAAAGGATACATTCAAGTGAGATCTTTCGTCTTTGGAAACAAGCCAGCCAGCCGTAGGTGATCTGGAAGTGTTTGAGGCGTTGAATATAATCGGAAAGGGGAGCTGATGAGCCCGGCCCTTTTGGTTCTGGTGAAGGAGGACAGGCCTGTTCCACACCCACAGGCATTCACTCCTAGTGGCACATGATACCTCTGCCCCACTGGTACCTGCCTGCTCTTTTCCATGTCACCCCCAATTCTCCTGTCCCCCACAATGCTCACCGAGCCTCAGTGTTGACAATTTGTTAAGATTCCCTTACTTGTCACAGCTGAACCCCAGTCTCCTAAACAGCAGTAAGGGTTGGCTTTGCAGTGGGGTGGGATGGGGCAGGTCTGGTGTCCCAGTGACACTTGGTTAAAGGGTCTGGCATCTCAGAACTTACAAGAGTGAAAGGTGATGATGGGAAATTGCTTCCCACACGAGGCTCAGTGCTGCTGGACTCTGCTGAAGTGGAGAGAGAGACAGGAAGCCTGTTTCAAGCTCTAAAGGCAGCCAGTGAGCCTCCTCAGATGGTTCCTAAGATGATTGGTGGCCACCTTGCTGTCACTATCAACAGTGAGTGTCTCCGGCCATCATGCGTGGTGGCACCTCACACAGTACAATCCCACAGAAATAAGAACCAGCAGGTTGTCTCCCTGGCACTCACATGGGCTCGGGAACTCTCTCTAGGTGGAAAGGTCTTCTCTTGCTCACGTGTGCTCCAGCCATAGGTGGGAAAAAGCTTGGTAGTCAGGGTGGACCTCTTTCCTCTGTGCATATGTGATTTATGTG